TTAAGATCAAACCTTGCTGTAGACTCAGTCCATACATCACCCGAATTATTTTTCAGAAAACAGAAAGGAAAGCAGAGAGACTTCCCGAGAATAAACAAAAAAGCAAAGAGACCTTTAAAGATTAGACAATTTTCACGAACATAACCTTCCCCTTCATGTTTTTCTTACATGTGTTCTTATTCTTCACTCGCTCTTTTCCATGAATGAATCGCCTACTTGCTCCTATTTGACTATTTGTTCGCCATGTGTAGAAAAATCAGTTCAATATCATATTACCAAAAAAAACAAATAACAACAAAGATAGAAAACATCTCATATGAAAACTAAATGAAAATCATAAAATAGTAATAATATATGAACTAAACCAAAAGGCATATGAGTTCAATGAGACGATTCTCTGAAAACATAATATGTGAGAAAAGCCAAAAGTACTAAATACCAGCCGGCTCGATGAGATGATTGTCCCAAAATCCTACAACAGGGTTAAAAGAACAAAGAAAACAAAGATCATAAGAACACAATCACGAAAAATCAAATAAATAACTTATGTTATGTAAAACTCACTTAAGATGATATAATACGGATCATTCTTCGAAGAATATACAAAACATCAGACAAATAATAAATAGCATATGGATGATACACAAAACTAAAATAGAATAAGAAGATACAGCACAACTAACAAAAATATCATCTAAAAAGAACATAATGTGCCCAACCTAGAATCGATCTACCACAAGAAGAAGAGATCGGTTAAAACAATAAACATACTAAAAGCCGCCTAAAAGAGAACGAACAGACGATTACTATACCAAATAAATAATTAGGGTTTTTGTAGCTTCATTAGGTTTGGCCGAGAACTATATTAGATTTAGCGGCAAACTTATAACGACGATCGGATTGCTTTATAATTGGGTTACAAATTAATTAGGGTTTTCTAAATAATGATATAGATAATAAAATGATATAAATAAGTAAATAATTAATAGATTTCATTAAAGATAATTAAAGTAAATTTTTATAAGTGGTATAAGGTAATCAACCATCATAACTCTCAACCACAGCCCAACCTGGTTGTCAATTAATAATATGATTCAAATTCAGGAAGCCTTTCCATATTTAGCAAGCTCTTCCACAATTCATGAAGCTCATCCACAATTCATGATTTTTTAAAAAATTTAGGAAAATTTTTCTAAATCATCTGAAACAATGTTGAATTTTTAAATTTAGAAGATTTTCCTAAATATCACGTAATATTGACAAAAAAACATTCAAGAAGACTTTATTAAATGATAAAATCGGAAAGATCAAATAAAAAATATTAGAGGGTAGAAAAAATTTAAGATATCTGTTATATTTGTCCTAAAAACTTGTTTTCAATGTAAATATGAAAATTGCTCAAATTTTAATATGTAAAAGTTTAAGGAATGTAAAATACGAAAGTCTGAATGTTATGGACGATAAAAAAAAATGAAAAAAGTACAATACCATTTAATGCCGATATGATCAAAGTCTCCTAGTGAAAAGGAGCAATATGGGTATGTATGTCGACGTAACAAAATGGGACAACCGGTCCATTTTGTTAGGGAACACAAGAGATTTGAAGTCACAGTGGAAAATCCAAACATCTTGTCCAAAGAAATTGTAAAAGACACATCAACCGAAGATGCCATTTCCAGAAGCAAGCAAACACACAGGAGGATTTCTCAATCTCATTCCATCACCACACCAACCAATACATGTATGATGTATCTATGCTTGTATGTATCTATGTATGTGTGGGATACTGAGGAATGGGAGAGAAAGAATATAAAATGACAAATAAGTTTAATCTAATACAAAAAAGGAGATAGAAACACTAAAGCTAGGGCCATGTTAGAACATTTTGGACATTGATGTCGACTTTAGAGACGCTTGGATAGCCATTAAAGAGCGGCTATGGAATTGTCCACGTCTTACTTAAAAACAATGATGGTCAGATGAAGAAAATATAATGCATACAAAACTCCTTTTTATTGATATATTTTTTCTTCTGTGGATTAGATCTACACATTACATTAGTAAGAAAATGGGACAAATATGTAACGCAAGCATAGAGAATAGGTACATTATACTATTCGTAAATTATCCAAACGAACAACATAGCTACCACTCCATCCAATTATCCAAACATATATATATATATATATATATATATATATAAACGAATAAACCGAAATCGAAGAATTTTTTTAATATATTTATCAGCTCGAATTTTATTCGAACACGTGCCATTTTACTGATGCAACAAAAGTTTCAACACTAAATTAGGGTTTCTAAACTAAAATGAATTTAAAGCCGAATCAAAACTGATTTCAGTGCAATAAAGCCAAAATGGATTTTGATCATTGTATTTTATGGTTTTTTTTTTTCAACATATATATTTTAAGTTTACAAAGTTCGTTCTAACTAAAATCTAACAGATCCAAACCAAAATTGATCAAACCTAACGATGCAAACTAAAACTGCACCAAACCGAACAAAATCAAAATAAATTATAAGTAATATCGTTATTTGATTTCATTGTTTTGGAATCGTTAATACTGATCTGATAGCAAACAATAAACTGGGTTTCTCTCCATCTTATAGATTTGATTATCTTAATAGCAAGGAACATGAAGGACCGATAATATAATTTAGGGTTTTCTGCATTTTAACCCGCAAGCTTACAAAGTTTTGCAAATCAATCCTCGATCTCTCAAAAATGCAGGTCAAACCTTCATCTCTCGGTCAACCCACAATACAGTCTATCCGTCAAATGGATGTTATATCTTAAACGGATGACAAAACACTGCGTTTTGCAACGACTACAAATCACAAACACCTTGACGTTTGTTTCACCTTGACATTTGTCTCTTACTTTTGCTAATGGGAAAGAATAAATCCATATAGAATTGGGAAATTAGGGTTTATTTGATTTTTGTGATTTGAAGCATCTCTTCATTAGATTTGATGCACTTTATATTCGCTGGATCTGAGATGCACCACAATTCCAAGCGAATTTATCTCAGAAAAATCAGTTCTCTCTTCCAAACTTTAGAACACGACAAAACCTCCTCAAATCTAGAAAATCCTAAATTATAGAATTAACTACTCAAATCGAAGACAAAAACTCGAATGAACCTCAATTCGAATTACTCTAATCAAACTCTTGGATGAGAAACCATTTCCCCCAATCACGATAAACCTTAATTTTGATTTTATTCTCAATTCGATTTTGTGTTCTAATCTCTGTTAATTATTCGGCAATTATACAAAAATACATCGGGATTAGTTTTTAAACTATTAACGTAAATATATATATAAATACTATAGTTGAAGTGATAACATAATAAAACTAACGGCTCCGATGGCTTTGAGGTACCTACTACCCTCGCATAACCCAAGTTCGATATTTACCATTACTATTTTGCTTTATTTTTTTTAATGGACAGAAATGTAATTTACTTATCATTTTCTTCATCCAACCTACGGTTTCTTTACCTCAATATCGGCCGCCATAATTTTTGCTTCAGTTATGTGATCTTTTTACATCATTTTATCGCTTAATTACATCAAATCTTTGTAAATTCAACTATAAAATATCAATTTTGAACATAAATTATAAAAAAGCTAAGATTTTTTAAAATTTCTGATTTTATCAACCGATTATCATCAATTCGCGGCGGTGATCGAATGTCGACCTCATTCTCAGTCGCTAAATCATCAACTCGCTCGCGTTTTCAAACAAGGATTCTAATTAATGCCAACCACGAACAACATGTCGTTTTTATGTTGTTTAAACGACATAGACAACAACTCTGTTTGATTTTCAAACGACGTTTATAACTGCCACGTCATCGATACACATGTGGATTGTATTGCGGGTTAACCGAGAGGTGAATGTTTGACCTGCATTTTTGAGAGATCGAAGGTTGATTTGCAAAATTGTGCAAACTGGCGGGTTAAAATGCAGAAAACCCTATAATTTACCATGCATATAATTCACATAAGATCAAAGTAATGGTGACCTATATATTCTTTAAAATCAGAATATAGAAATGACTAATTCTTGAAACTTCTATACTAGATTTTTTTGTTGTATGAAATATTAGATAATTACAAAGATCATTCTTAACGGATAATTTATACAACAAATTTATAAGTCCACTATGCATAACTCTATTTGCACCGTTCTGGAAATCTTCTTTATCTTATCTGCTTGTCTCATTTGACAAAAAAAAAAAAATCTGCTTGTCTCTAATAATCTGCAGAAATCTCACATCTTCTAGGAATCGAAACAATATTTTCTGGTGTAGAAGTATTAGTGAACTGTTTAGTACTTTAGTCAACCATACTTAATTTTTTTTAAAAATTCACATAAAAAAAATTACAGAGAAAAATAATAATAGATTTGATCGTTTGTTAGCCAATAAGGTTTTTATAAATGGAAAGTATCACTAATATATTTTTAGATATTTTTTACTATATATATTTATAATAATTTACATTTCAAAAGTTCTATATATAAAATAAAAAAAGTAAAAGAAAACTAGAAAAGTAAGTTGAAATAAGAAAACGTTGCCGTATAATCTTTGCATATTTGAGCTGAATAATTTCGGTCCAGTAATGGGCCCAAGGCCTGTAAATATATTCTCTGACACCGCTCACGCCGCCAGAAATGAAGAAACCGAACAAAGTTTCTCTCGCGTAACCTTTTCCTCTCTCTCTGCCGAAACTCGTCTTCTCACCCGAGAAATTCAGCCATCGCCGATCAGTGAGTTCCTCATATATCTCTGTCTTCATCTTCGAATCTTCATTTATGTATTATGATTAATCATTTTTTCCGATAATCGATTCTGATCATGTTTTTTCTGTTCGGTAAAGAAATTCAATTGATATTTCTCTCTATTCAATCTCTTTACTTTTTCCTTCTTTCAGATTTTCGATTCTCTGTGTAGAGAGAAAAAAGCAGTATTCAAATGGGTTGCACTGTGAGGGAGAAGCACGTGAGGGCGAACCGGAAGATCCGACCCGCTTTGAAATCCGAAATCGAATCGTGTTGTTTGCTCGACAGGCTTGCTCTATCGAAATCCATCGTTGAGTCGAGCCTGAAGAACCTGGTTTATCATCCAGGTCTCACTGATTCAGAACATTGTATCCACTCGAACCCTAGCTGCAGTTTCGAGGAGAACATTTGGGGTTATTGCACAGAGGAGCATCTGGAAGAGATTCTGCTGAAACATTTGGAGTTTCTATACAACCAAGCCGTTTCCAAGCTTATGGAATTGGGTTATGAGGAATGCGTCGCGATGAGAGCGATTTTGAGCAACGGGCACTGTTATGGTGAATCGGATGTTTTGTCGAACATAGTGCATAACTCATTATCTTATCTGAAAAGTGGTGGCGGTGGCGGCGGTGGTGGTAACGGGAAGAATGAGGATCAGCCGGAGACTGGTTTCACGGATTTGAGAGATTTGGAGGAGTATTCGCTCGCCGGTATGATTTACTTGCTGCAACAGGTTAAGCCAAGTTTGAGTAAAGGTGATGCGATGTGGTGTTTGCTAATGAGTGAGCTCCATGTTGGTAAGGCGAGTAACGTGGATGTTCCATCTTCAGGGAATAGGGCTAGTTGTTGCACTAAGGAAGATAGCAATGTAGAAGGAGGCTGTAGTAATACCTTTGATCTTACTGGTTTCATGGCGCCGGCGTTGTGTCGATTCCATGGAGGTTGGGAATTCGAGAACGGAGGAGGACCTGAGTTTTCCGGTAAGGGGTTTTCGACTAACAATGCTGAGTTAAAACTGCAGAGAGAGATCGTGTGTCCGAAGAGGTTTAATCTTTCGCCGGCGATGAAGGTCTTGTTGAAGCGGAATGTGGCGGCTTTTGCTGCCGGGTTTCGTGCTAGTATGAAGCAGAAGCAGGTTGAGTCTGAGACTGGTGGTAACAACACCGATCCTGCAAGCGTTGAGGCTTGTGAGCAGCCAGGTAACGTAAAGAGTGAAGAGAGTGTTAGTTTGGTGTTGGAGAAGTTTCAAGAACTGAACATTGATGATGATCTGAAAGCGGTTGGTGATGATGATAAGGATGGTGTGGTTGTCACTCTGCTTCATCAGGTCAAAGATCTCGAGAAGAAGTTAATGGAAAGGAAAGATTGGGCTTTGAAGAAGGCGATGCAAGCTGCACAAAAGGTAAGCGATGAACTTGCGGAGCTTAAATCATTGCATAGTGAAAGAGAAGGGATCCAACTGTTGAAAAAGGGGAAACAAGCTGTTGAAGAATCAACCTTGAAGAGAATATCCGACTTGGAGAACGCTCTTAGGAAAGCCTGTACTCAAAATGACAGGGCAAACTTGATTGTGAGATCTCTTGAGAACCAAAATGCGGAGATCCGAGCAGAGAGGGAGGGTTGCAAACTAAGTGCGTCGGAATCGCTTAAAGCCTGCATGGAAGAGTCAAAGAAGGAGAAAAAATTCTGGAAGAAGCTTTTGGCATGGGAGAAGCAGAAATTGAAGTTGCAGGATGAGATTAATGCTGAGAAAGAGAAGATCAAGGCCCTTTATAGGGCTTTAGCTCAGATCACAGAGGATGAAAAGGCAAATGAGGTATGTTGGTTCGTTTATCATCTTCATTTATACCCTGAAGGTTCTCTAGATCCTCACAAGTCAAGAATTGTGGGAAGAACATTCACTTAGGATCCAAAAATATTTACTCATGTTTCGTTTGAGGCGTGCATCTAGTTGCCAAGTTTGTCCTGTGGTCCTGTCTTAGATCATAATCTATTACCGATGCCAAATAACTTCAAAGATCATTCAAGAGGTATATAGTCTGCATCTGCCACATTTTGTTGCTAGGGTATTTGGAATCTGGATGTGATATGAATATCATCTTGAGAGAATCAGTTTTTGAGTTGTAAAACTCAGTCCAAATGATTTGTTAAACTTATTGTGGTTCATATGTTATTGTGGCTAAAACTTATTGTGATTTAAGTTGTTGTGGTTGATATGTTATTCGCAGGTGGAGTGGAGGCAAGAGCAGAAAGCAAAAGAGCAAGCTCTAGCTCAAGTGGAGGAAGAGCAACGCTCAAAAGAAGCAGCAGAGGCACACAACAAGAGAAAGCTCGAGACTCTACGGCTAAAAATCGAAATAGACTTCCAGCGACACAAGGACGATCACCAAAGGCTCGAGCAAGAGCTATCTCGGCTCAAGGCCTCTTCAGACACTGACTCAAGCCACTTACCAAACAGCGTTTGGAAACCGGAGAAGTCTCAAGGAGAGAACATTGCTAAGCTGCTCGAAGAGCTCGATAAGCTTGAAGGGACTTATGAGAATGAAGCAAGCAATGATCGAGAATGCATAATCTGTATGAAAGATGAAGTCTCTGTGGTGTTTCTTCCTTGTGCTCATCAAGTTGTGTGTGGTGGTTGCAGCGATAGCTTCTTCTCGGGCAACGACAATGGTGGAAGCAAAGTCACTTGTCCTTGCTGCAGAGCTTTGGTTCAGGAGAGAATCCGTATCTTTGGATCAGCCTCGTAATAACCGAAATACAGCTTCTTCTCTTTGGGTTTCAAAGAGATTGTCACAACTTCAGATTTTTACTTTTGTAAGTAAAAAAATAAATGCTTTGACATTATTTTCTCCAAGCAATTTATACTCATGAGGAATTTTTTTTCTTGCACGATGTACAAAAACTTGCCGTCGTGATCGTGAGCTAATCTTTGTCTTCAATTTGATTCGGAGGAAACAAGTCTCTTTCCCATTGAATTATCATTCCGGTTTTGGTCAGAGCGTGCAATCAAATGTACTGTATTTCATTTATTACTCCGGTTTTTTTTTTTAAGTTGAGGATTTAAATTGGTTTTTGTCCTTTAAGGTAATGGTTTGTTTGTGTAGAAAAAAAAAAAAAGAAAACAAGCGAATTGGTTTTGGATCGGTTCTTCCAATATGATTTTGGTTAAACCGGATTGGACACTTTGTAAGCAAGACAATGACAACCACAAGTTCATGAAAACCACAAATATTTGTCTAGTTTTTCTTTCTTGTGTGTTTTGTTGTGTGGCCGTTATTTGCAGGAAATGGCTTCGTGTGCCATCTCAAACCCAATTCATACCGTCAAGATCTCGAAGAGAAGAATTCCGTACAACGGTCTATTTGGTTGGAACTCCGGCGAGAAAGTAGACAATCTCCGGCCGCCGCAGCAACCGCTCTACCACGACGACGTCCAAATTCCTTTCTCTCTCTCGTTGGTAAACAAAACCTTCCTAAAAGGTATATACACTAAACTTAATGCATTCTTCATCTCATTTCAATAATTTTTCTTTTTGGATTTTGTGATTCTCGATTTTGACTACTAGACTCGTATGATCCATGTGAGAAAGTGTGTTTTTATCTGAAATTCTTCAAATTCTTTAACATTTTTTCTTATTGTTATCAGGAAGAGAATTAAAATGTTGCTACAAAGCAAGCATTGATGGGTTTAGTGCGACAAAGTTCCACGAACGTTGCGATTTCAAAGGCCCATGTGTTATCATAGCTTACACCAAACTGACGAAAGACAAGACTTTCAAGTTTGGTGGATTTAGTCCTGAAGGCTACAGAAGTACCGATGATTATTACGATACATTCGACGCTTTCCTCTTCTATTGGCTCGACGATTGTGATGATGATGACCCAATCGTTCTTCCTAAGGTTGGAGGAAGTGGAGCGGCTCTATTTGATTATGCACGTGGAGGGCCTCAATTTGGAGCAGATGGGCTTCTTATTGGACCGCCTTTAGCACCCGTGATGGGCGGGTTTGCGGGTCCGGATACGAACTCGGGGATTGGTGATTTAAGGATGGCTAGATCAAGATTGGGTTTGTCATATGCTAAGAGGAAAGATGGGAAGGAATCTATCTTTGGAGATGAGAGTAAGGTTAGTCTTGATGATGTCTTGGTCTTTTGTAGCCCTTACATTGCTTCTTTGTATTAAATCACGAAACAAATATCAACAAATTTCCAATAGAAATATCCAATACTTTCATCTTTTATTCATTAATTATACATACTTTTGAGACCTAAAAAGTATATTTATAACTACTACTCTATGGTGTGGAGAATCTTGTAGTATTCAGTTTTTTATATGTAACTACAGACTACAGTAGTAGATAGATACAGATTTAGCTATAGTTGCATATTATAAAATTGAATACTACAAGATCCACCTAGAGGGAGCTATTGTGTTTCTTTTTTTACTAAAGAACATGATAGTTCATGACTTCATTGTTCATATGTGATTCTTGATAATTATCGAACATGATTGGATTTTCCATTTCCCAATCGAAATTCAAATCGGCGAAGAACTCTGGTGGATATTCAAATTCGGGTAGTGCAAATACTTGCAAACCGGAAGCTTCTTCGGTTTGTGATTGTATATTTCCCTGCAAAACATTGTAATGATGTTTGAGACACAGTGACTATGATTAATTAATTAGACTATCTGCGAGTTTCGATTTGATTTATCAAACCTTAAACGATGATGACTCAACGATGAAATCAGGAGAAGCCCATAGTGTGTTACTTGCGTCACAAGAACCCTCTCCTAGGTCACCACCACTTGCTTGACAAGAAATCTCAACATTGTTGCTCAATGGCTCATCTGAAACCTCTGGTGTGGTTTCACATTTCTTAAGCGTAAGATCTTCCCTCTTATTCACACGGCACAACGCGAAATCTCCCTATTGAGCGAAATAATACCAAAAAAAAACTATCAATAATTGGTAACTAGGAAATCAAATTTTGTTTTCTCATCTTTTTGGTTAGATTTGTGATGTTGTTACCTTAAAATTTAGTGACCCTTTTGAATTATCAGTGTCGCAGAGACGATACTCATGCATTACCCACTTGGTTCTACAACCAAAAGGGGCTCGACCCATATAAAAAACTAGGGTTTTTCGACACCCAATGACTGATGAAGATAATGATGAAGAAGAGGAAGACTGATCACAAATGATTTTTCGATCTTTACCGGTGGCTTTCCAGTAACCAGATTTAGTTGCTCTGTTTATTCGAGACCCGTTCTGGTATTTTTTGTCTCTGTGACAGAAGAAAAACCATTCCATATCTCGATTTGGCAAGAAAGATTTCTCTACAAAGAAACACAAGTTTTTATTATTATTATTGTTTTGAATATTGGAAAATATTTGTTTTAATTAAATCCGAGCTTTAGAGAAGGACATACCTGGAAGTTCCCAAGGATCAAACTTGTATAAATCCATTAATGGAATGATTTCGAGCTCGATCTCAAGCCTTTCATTTCTTCTGTGCAGGTAATAACCCAAAAGTTCTTCATCTGTTGGATGGAATCTGAAACCAGGGGGTAAAGATGTTGATCCCACCATCTTGCTATCTATAGTTTTCTTCGAATGATTCTCTTAGCTGAATTATTGATTCACTCCAGAAGTATAAGGCTCTTTGATTCACTCACTCTAACGTTAAAAACAGAGCGCGACTTCCATAAAACGAAGCCCTAATTCCTATTATTGTGTTTCGTAAAGCTCAAGGACCAATTAATAAAAACAAACAGAGAAAAACAAGAAGACGAATTTTACTTTAGAATAGTGTTTTTCTTCAAGATTTTAAGAGTTTTCTCTTTGGAAAAATTAAAAAAAAAAGATTGAAGTTTGGAACTCGATGATGCTGAAAGCCTGAAACTTAGAGGAAGAGGGAGAATGTAGGTTTTGGGCTGTTTGGTTGGGATTATACATATATAGTAGAAGAAAAAAGGTTTAAGGGTTGAAGTAAAGTATTAACACAAACGTAACTTAAATAGCATTTTAGTTATTAAAATAGTAATGATATTTATGTTTACATTTGTTATGATAAAATAATATACAGACCGAAAGTTTTAAAGATTACTTGTCTGAAACGTCCCATAAATTCCACAACATTGGCCCACCTGAACCAAAAAGCTTCAGTAGTTCACACTCATACACTTGAAAACTTATTGCCGTCTGTAGTTTATACATATAGACAGCTTGCCGTCTTTTATTTATCTCTATATACACCTTGTCGTTTCTATAACCTATAATAAGCTCGTGGATTAGGCTTCACGTAGTTTAGTTTTTTTTTTTTTTTTATAGTTAAAAACAAAAGCTGTCGTTATCAGTCTATTATCAAAATGAATAATAAATTTGTGCTCAACTCTAAATAATTATTACCGCCAAAAAAGAATACATACATAAATGATTTTCAAAATGAATTATCTAGTGAAGAATTCTTTTCTATATTGACATACTTGTAGTAATCACTGAGTAGATGTCTTTCAAATAGAATAGGTTTCTATTAAGAATTATATCAATATCCACTGATACTCTTGAGTGATACTCCGTACTGTTTTTTTTTCAGTTATAAAATGTTTGACAAATGATATGTGAACACGAGTCAAAACCGGGTCAATTTATTTTCTTTTATTTGGATTGATAAAAGTGTCAATTTAGCTTTGCTTCCACCTCATGGTGAGTTGGAAAATATATTTATTTTAGTAACTTTGTATTGATGAAGCAAATTGCCATGTGGCAAATAAACCCCCATTATCAAAACCTCAAAATGTTTATTTATTATTATTATTTCTTATATCCGCGTTGTTTACCTTTTGCCATTAGTAGTAGTTTGCTTTAATAGAATTCACATTATTTGTTCTTAGATGTAAAGTTAGTTTCTTCACCTCATGGACATCTGCATGGACAATACATGAAAAATTAAATCCCATCATTCAACTTGAGCGAAACATTGTGTTCAAAACACGGAAAACTCAAAGTAAATATTGATTATAACACCTTTTTGTTTTGTTTTGAGGGTGGGACATTTTGGTCGATGAAAAAGATTTAAGAATCATGTAACTATTTGTGTGATTTTTTTTATATAACTATCAAGTATCAATGATTTATCACCAATAGATATATAATCTGAATCACATTATAATATTTTTTTGTTGACATCATCAAAATGCTATTATATTTGAAAAAAAAAGCTAATGTTGATTAGGGCTTAGTAGTGACGACTGACGAAGCTAAGTTAATGGCTTCTCTTTAGGCTAATTATTCTCGTATATTTTTCTAGTTGATAGGCTTTTTGTTAATATATTTTAGATTGATTATTATAACTAATACTATTTTTAATCATAAGATAATTTTAATTTAGATAGGTCACTATTTCTTCTTACCCAATTCATCAACAAAAGTCTGTCATGATGATAATCCGTTCGTGGACATTAGAAATAGCAATATTAATGAAAGAACGAGAAAATGGGCCAGTAAAAAATTAAAGTGGGTCTATCAAATAAGCCCGTTTAGCCCAAACGAAACAAGATTATTAAAACTACAGAAAAAGAGAGAAAACAAAAACTCGATTCGTGAAGAAACTCTGCTCGGATCGCTGCAAAAGAGAGACAGAGAGAGAAAGAGAGAGACGAGTGGAATCCATTAATGGCGGCTGCCACAGTTCTCGGCCGCTTGTCATTGATACCGAATCTATCTTTTAAACCAAAATTAAAATCGAACAGAAGAACAACAACTCCTAAGAGTGTTTCCATTCGAGCACAAGCATCATTCTCCGACCCATTTGTGCTTCAATTAGCTGAATCTCTCGAAGACTCTCTCTCAGCTTCTCCTTCTTCAGCATCATCATCTACTCTCTCCTCATCCTTACCTCTCCAGAGAATCCGAGAATCTTCCGCCGAGACCCTTATATCTACTCCATGGCCGTCGCGAAAAGACGAGCCTTTCCGATTCACCGATACATCCTTCATCCGCTATTCCCAAATCGAACCGGTCTCGACCCAGAAACGGAATTCTGAAATTCTAGACAATCTGACGGAAACCCAGTTCCCAAACGCCGTGATAATCGACGGATTCGTGTCGAATTTGACGATTGGCCCATCAGATTTGCCCGACGGGGTTTACTTCGGGAGCTACTCGGGTCTACCGGATGAGCTCACAAACCGGGTATCCGAATTCATCGGAAATTTCGATTCCGGTGATCTGTTTTGGTCGATTAACGGCGTGGGAGCACCGGATTTGACTGTGATTTATGTTCCCGCTGGATGTAAGGTGGACAATTCGATTCATCTGAGGTACTTCTCCGGAGAAACCGGTGACCGGGAATCGAAAAGGTTACCGGTATCGAATCCTAGGGTTTTTGTGCTAGTGGAGGAAGGAGGAGAGATTGGTATAGTTGAGGAGTTTGTTGGTATAGACGAAGAAGGGTTTTATTGGACGAATCCGGTTTTGGAAGTTGTTGTCTTGAAGAATGCAAAAGTTGAGCACTCATACTTGCAGAAAGAATCCATGGCTGCTGCTCATATCAAGTGGACTTTCGTCCGACAGGTCAATCTTCGTTCTTTCTCTTCTAATTAGAAAATTTTATACCTTTTTTTCCTTAATTGTTGAGGAGAATCAGCGGTTTAGTTGCAGAAGAAACATCACTTAATGCAGAATCGTAGCTCACCTTATATTGATTGATTTTGTTATTGTCTTGCTGTTAAAATAGATCTTGTGGTACCAAAAGTAGGAATCTTTGTGCTGAATTTTTCAGGAGAGTGTCTTAGTTTAGTGTTGCTGCTGCTGGAAAAAAGTTGTAATCTTTATGATTGAAATTGTTGAGGTAGATGAATAGTTAGTTTATAGTTTCAGTTCTTCTGTTAGTCCGTTAGAAGTTTATAGCTTAGTTTAAGTTTTTGGATGTTTCGTAATGGCTTGAAATACGAAATGGGAATGTTATGCTGAATAGTTTCATGTGTTTGTTCTCTGTAGGAGGCAGAGAGTGAGTATGAGCTTGTAGAAGTGAGTACGGGAGGGAGATTGGGCCGGCACAATGTCCACGTGCAGCAGCTCGGGCCCGATACGCTCACCGAGTTAACGACGTTTCACATGTGTGTTAACGACCAAACTCTCGATCTCCATAGCAGAATTGTCTTAGACCATCCACGAGGCTGTTCGAGGCAGATCCACAAGTGTATCGTTGCTCATTCCTCTGGTCAAGCTGTTTTCGATGGCAACGTCCGAGTTAACAAGTAATCCGGTTTCCGGTTTTTGGATTTCTTGGTTTTTTCAGTCGGTTTTCTTTCGGTTAATCAGTTTAAGGTTCTTGCAGATATGCTCAACAGACTAACGCGGGACAACTAACACGGAGCCTCCTTTTGAAACCGCGAGCCACCGTGAACATTAAACCGAACCTTCAGATCATTGCCGACGACGTTAAGTGCTCGCACGGAGCTGCGATCTCCGATCTCGAGGAAGACCAGCTTTTCTATTTCCAGGCTCGTGGGATCGACTTGGAGACTGCAAGAAGAGCTCTCATATCTTCTTTTGGATCGGAGGTTATCGAGAAGTTTCCGAATCGGGTAATCCGCGACCAAGCTAGGAATCACGTCAAGTGCTTGCTCTGATTTCATCTCAACGCCGGCGAGATTTTTCTGTTCGTAGAGACGACGATACTACTGCACTTTGTGATTCATCTACAGTATATGTTCATTACTATGTGAGGCCCATTTAAATCATGTTTTGGCCCATTTAAGTCCAAAATAATATAAGCAGTTTTTTCAAACTTTGGAAAAAATGTTCTCTACTATCTACGTAAGCAAAACGACGTGAATGTTGAGGGATTTTAGTGAAACGGAAAAACAGCAAAGATTCGACTTCTCAATGAGTAAAACTACACGCATTTTATTTAAAATCTGATAAAAAACTCTTAATTTTTATGCCGCCTCCCCCTTTCCTCCATTTTTAAGCCTCCATCGACGTCGGAGACTCTCACCGTCTTTTCTTTCAATAGTCGGCCGGCGAAATCACTTCCATAGATTCTGTTACATATACACACTCTCGCCTACCAGTAGCTTCAAATACAGACGTCCTCACCCTCTCTATATCTTCTCACTCTGTAAGCTTCAAGAATTTGGAACTTAGTTACGCAAATCTAGGGTTTGTAACTCGTTCCCTTCGCTCGATGATTAGGATAATTTTTATGCTTATTAATTTGGGAAATTTCTCTCCATTTTATCTTGAGAGGTTGCTGCATACGGTCGATAGCTGCTAGCTAAGAGAAATCAAGCAGTGGATTGAACTTTTGAAAAAATCGAAGCTCTTGTGGTTAGATAATTAAACTTGTAATTAGAGTTTCGATTAGTATGGCGATTGAAAATTTTTGAAATTTGGTTGAGATAGATAATGGGTTTTGATGTTAGATTAGTGGTGTTGATTTTTGTTTATCCCAAATGCAGTGAGAATGGCGAGCAATGATTTAAAGACCTGGGTTTCGGACAAGCTGATGGTGCTACTTGGCTATTCACAAGCAGCTGTTGTTAATTATCTCATTGCAATGGGTAAAAATTTGATGTTTTTGATTTTGGATCATGGAGCTTATGAAGCATTTTTTGTTTGTTAGTATCCTTAGAATTTACAAATGTGGTTGTGATTTATCTCCGTGCAGCTAAGAAATCAAAATCACCAACTGAACTTGTTGGAGAGTTGGTGGATTACGGGTTTTCTTCTTCTGGTGAAACTCGTTCGTTTGCGGAAGAAATTTTCAGCAGAGTTCCCCGTAAATCTGCTGGCGTGAATGTGAGTTTCTCAGTTAGATAAAACTTTATTGCTCTTGTGTGTTTTTTTCTTGTAAAGCTTACGGAAGTTGATGCATTTTAGTAGAAGTTTGTATGGATAGAAGCAAAGTTGTGGTTTTGGTTGGGTTTCTTAATTTCTCTCGCTTTTATGTCAGCTCTACCAACAACAAGAAGCAGAGGCAGCAATGCTAGTGAGGAAGCAAAAGACATATGCTCTTCTAGATGCTGATGATGATGAAGACGAAGTTGTTGTGGAGAAAAAACCTCCAGCTTCTGATTCAAGGAAGTCAGATAAGGGCAAGAAAAGGTTTAGAAAGAAGAGTGGGCAGTCAGATGACAGTGATGGCGAGGCATAGTTTCTTTTCCCCATTGAAATTTTTTTCTCTTTCTTTATGGTAACGTATAGCTTGGCAACAGTATGATAAAACTTTGAGGAAAAATGTAGGTGGCTGTTAGAGAGGACGATAGACACGTTAGAAGAAAGGTTTCTGAAGACGAAGATGATGGTTCTGAGGTATATCTCTAGACTCTTATAGGGTGTTTCCATTTCAACTGTTTTCTGAGACTGTGTCTTATACTGTAGATATCCAGTAACTGATGTTCTATAGATGTGTGTGGATAACACATGTGTTTATGTAATTTGCTTCGATATTGTACACTTGGCACAGTCAGAAGAGGAAAGATTGCGTGACCAACAGGAGAGAGAAGAACTGGAGCAGCATTTAAGAGATCGTGATACTTCCCGGACACGAAAGGTATGCCTCAATCTGATTCCTGGCATGATTTTCCCCGTTTTGTTCTCCGAATAGAACCTGTTGTTGTAGCCAACCAGGGGGCTAAGTATTGCCGGCAATGATGTAGAAGTTCTTAATGAATGAGGATTCTCGTAATTCATAACAGGCAAATCTAGCTTCGTTTGAGTAGGAATTATGAATTAAACAAATACACACACATTCATGTCACCGAATCCTGGATGCTAAGACAATTTCTCTAGCCGAATAAGAAGTATGTAGCTATCATGGTTGGCTTATTGATCTATTGTACTTGTGGAAGTTAGTGACATGTTCTTTTTGTTTGTTTAATGATCAGCTAACAGAGCAAAAGTTGTCAAAGAAAGAGCAAGGTACAATCTATTATAATTTGTGTATATATATTAACATTTCTGTGATACATTGTGATCTAGATTTAAGATCCTTTTTTCCTGATAGCCTCATTAAAGAATTTTTGTTTTTTCGCAAAACAGAAGAGGCTGTTCGAAGAGCAAATGCTTTGGAGAAGGATGATTTACATTCCTTAAGGTAATGAACTTTTCCTTCTTTTATGTGTTTGTGACGATTGTTTATTGACAGCGATAGAAGGTAATGAAGTATAGCATGATTTGGAAGAATAATAGTCAACAATGTACCTGTGTGTCGTATGTTTAATTCCTGAAATACTATATGAAGTTGCAAACTTGATTTCCAGTTACCAATTCTTGACTCTGTCATTCATCTCCCTGTTAATAGCTCTTGATAATGTCCCTACTTGTAGAAATGATAGGCTATCTTGTGTTTTCCATGTCCTTGATGATCTTTTGTTGGGTCTGATGCAGGAAAGTCTCGAGGCAAGAATATTTGAAGAAGAGGGAACAGAAGAAACTGGATGAACTAAGGTACATGACATGTTTATATATATTTGCACTTTTCTTTTCTTATTACTGGTTCCGCCTCTTTAATTGACTTCTCCCGTTTCATCTTTTCCTCAATAGGGATGAGATAGAAGATGAACAATATCTTTTCGGAGGTGAAAAGCTCACAGAAACAGAGCTTCGTGAGTTTAGGTAATTTGTTACATCGTTATTGCATTAAGGTTGTTTTTGTCATTTCCAACATCTATCTGATGCAGCGTGCTGGTTTAGCTGAGTGAAAAAAATAAACGTTTGCATTTTTTTGTTTCCAATTTAAAAGTTATATGGTGGTATTCATTTTTAAGAAGGTGTGTTTAGTTATGGTTAATTGAGCTTGGGTTGATCTGTTTTCTTTGATAGATACAAGAAAGAACTCTATGATCTCGTGAAGAAAAGAACACAAGATGAAGATGACGTAGAAGAGGTAATGTTTGTACCTTGGTGCCTCCTTCTTCCTCCTGGTTCTTTAAAGTCTCTATATCTAACACATCTCTTTCTTACTCCGAGTTCAGTATAGAATTCCAGATGCTTATGATGATCAAGAGGGGGGTGTGGATCAGGAGAAGAGGTTTGCTGTTGCTGTACAACGATACAAGTGAGTTGACAAAGAAAGCTTTGCTAGTGATTCTAATCTGCTTGCGCTTGCCATATCTATCTTTAGTATTTTTCAAAACTCTTTTGTGCGTTCTAAATTATTATTTTTTTTGGTTAGGGACTTGGATTCAACGGAGAAAATGAATCCATTTGCAGAGCAAGAAGCTTGGGAGGACCACCAGATTGGTAAGTTCTGTTTTAACTCTATCTCCGTTGACCAGTCTTGTTTTTACTGCCCTCTGATTTAAGTGACATTGTTTTCTCTTCGACTGGTTTAAATGACATTGTTATGCAGGAAAAGCAACATTAAAGTTTGGCTCAAAGAATAAGCAAGCATCAGATGATTATCAGTGAGATCTGTTACACATTTGTTTTTTTTATTCTTTTGTTTAACTCGTCTGAAAGATAGTCCTCGTTAGCTTCTCAAACATGGATTAGGCCCATGGTCTGAGGATTCTGACTTTTTTTTTTTTTTTCTATTTTACGCAGGTTTGTGTTTGAGGACCAAATAAATTTCATAAAGGAATCTGTGATGGCTGGTGAAAATGTACTGCCTATTATATATTAAACCTGACGATACCTGTCATATGCTGACTTGTAGCTGACTGCTTTATTGTTTGCCTTGCAGTATGAAGATGATATGCATGCTAAAGAAACTCAAGATGCGGCAGAGAAAACAGCTTTAGAGGAACTTCAGGTGCTATCTTTTTCTGTTTTGTGTTCCCATTAACTTTGTTTGATCAAACTCAAGTACCCAACCAACCAGATCTTCTTTTCAGGATGTAGTTTGGAATAAGTTCAAATTCTATGTTTCTTTGAATTAATATCCGTAGAAAAAGACTAAAACTCACCCTGTCATGTCCTTTCATGTGTTTTTTTGTGATTCAGGATGTCAGAAGAAGCCTGCCAATTTACGCATATCGTGAGCAACTGCTTCAGGCTGTGGAAGAGCATCAGGTGATTCTAGCTCTCATGCCATTACCTTTAGTTTAGATACCTGCGATACTCAGATTTTAAAAGAAAAAATATACATTTCCTAAATCATCTAATAACAGACGAGAAGCTCACTTTTCCAATCCCTATCGAAAACAATATGTTTTGGATATAACATTTGAGTATGTGTTAGTATCAAATCTCAGTGTCATGTACAAATGAAGATGTGTATTAAAGTGTTTGATTATGAAATTGTGCATACTGTGTTTTCAATATTTTGTTCCTCTGCTTCATGTAATTGAAAATTTGAAACCTTTTTTCAACTTTATATCATTTTATTAGGTTCTTGTCATTGTGGGAGACACTGGTTCCGGGAAGACAACACAAATACCACAATATCTCCATGAAGCTGGTTACACAAAGCGCGGAAAGGTACAACTCTCCCGGAATTGCAGCATATAGTTAAAACACACACATTTCCTTAAAATAGGAACTGTTAGTGTAGAAATCGTCAACAGATTTCCCTTTGTCAAATAAAGTATCATAATGCTCTTCTATTGTCTAGGTTGGTTGTACGCAGCCCCGAAGAGTTGCGGCTATGAGTGTTGCTGCTCGTGTGGCTCAAGAGATGGGTGTCAAACTCGGACATGAGGTATGTTGGCTTTTACGTCTTTTGCAGTTGGTAAGCTGATTGTTACACAATTGTAAGCTCACTCTCAGAATCTAAAAATGTGGTTGGTGCTTGTCACAGGTTGGCTATTCCATTCGATTTGAGGACTGTACTTCAGACAAAACAGTTCTGAAGTATATGACTGATGGAATGCTTTTGCGTGAGCTGCTTGGCGAACCAGATCTTGCCAGCTACAGGTAATGAACGTTCTTTAACATTTTTTTTATTATCACTATTGAACAGCCAAACGTTTTTGCTTACTGATTGCAAAACTTTTCAGTGTCGTTATTGTGGATGAAGCGCATGAAAGGACCTTGTCAACCGATATACTGTTTGGATTGGTTAAGGCAAGTGGATCTTCCCGTACAATGTATCTTCTTACTTGTGTAATCAGGGATAGATCCTGGGATAATTCTGATTAGATCTTCTTTTGTTTGACAGGATATAGCGCGGTTTCGACCTGATTTGAAGTTGTTGATATCTAGTGCTACAATGGACGCAGAAAAGTTTTCGGATTATTTTGATACAGCCCCGATTTTTAGTTTCCCAGGAAGAAGGTTTCCGGTTGAAATCAACTTCACAAGTGCACCTGAAGCTGATTACATGGACGCAGCAATAGTTACTGTCCTTACGATCCATGTGAGGGAGCCACTTGGAGATATCTTGGTCTTCTTCACTGGTCAAGACGAAATTGAGACTGCAGAAGAGATCTTGAAGCACAGGATAAGAGGTTTGGGTACGAAGATCCGCGAATTAATTATATGCCCGATTTACGCAAATCTTCCAAGCGAACTCCAAGCAAAGATATTTGAGCCAACTCCAGAAGGAGCACGTAAAGTAGTCTTAGCAACAAATATCGCTGAAACGTCATTGACCATTGATGGTATAAAGTATGTTGTTGATCCTGGCTTTAGCAAGATGAAGTCATATAACCCGAGAACCGGGATGGAATCTTTGCTTATCACTCCTATCTCTAAGGCTTCAGCAACTCAGCGAGCTGGTCGAGCTGGAAGAACAAGCGCGGGGAAGTGTTACCGTCTCTACACAGCGTTTAATTACAACAACGACTTGGAGGAAAACACAGTGCCCGAAGTACAGAGGACGAATCTTGCAAGTGTGGTGCTTGCTTTGAAGAGTCTCGGGATTCACGATCTGATCAACTTTGATTTCATGGACCCTCCACCTGCTGAAGCACTTGTGAAGGCTCTAGAACTGCTTTTTGCTCTGGGTGCCTTAAATAAGCTCGGTGAATTGACCAAAGCTGGTAGAAGGATGGCAGAGTTTCCCCTTGATCCGATGTTGTCGAAGATGATTGTTGTCTCTGACAAGTACAAGTGCTCAGATGAGATAATATCAATCGCTGCTATGTTGTCAATCGGAGGCTCTATCTTCTATCGTCCCAAGGACAAACAGGTTCACGCAGACAATGCAAGAATGAATTTCCACACTGGAAATGTCGGTGACCACATCGCTTTGCTAAAGGTTTTATAACCTTCTCCTTCCCTCTTTTTTTTTTTTTTCCGTTTCTCTTCCATAGCGCCATCTTTGTATGTTTATCGTCTTTGTTGTTGTTCTGTTGAAGGTTTACAGCTCATGGAAAGAAACAAACTATTCTACTCAGTGGTGCTACGAGAACTACATTCAGGTACGGAGTTGTCTCCCTATGCTTACCATTGCGTTAAAACGGAATGTGAATCCACTTGATATTTATTTTGGGCTGAATATTTGTTCAGGTACGGAGCATGAAAAGAGCCAGAGACATCCGTGACCAATTAGAAGGACTTCTCGAGAGAGTGGAAATAGAAATCAGCTCGAACCTGAATGATATGGACTCAGTTAAGAAATCCATTGTAGCTGGTAAGTTCTCCCTCTTCATTTTTGTTTTAAGTCAATTCTTTACAGCTATGATGCCTCACTAATGATCTTCTACTTTAATTTACTCAGGTTTTTTTCCTCATACTGCGAAGCTGCAGAAGAATGGATCATATCGAACTGTGAAGCATCCCCAAACAGTGCACATACATCCCAACTCAGGCTTATCTCAGGTTGATATCTGCCTCAGTCCCTCTAACATAAAACCACAAAAATCTTATTATTTGATAGTCTTAAAAAACTTTGAATATTGATTGAGTTCTCTTGTGAATGCTTATTTTAGGTATTGCCGAGATGGGTTGTATATCATGAACTAGTGCTTACCTCCAAGGAGTTTATGCGACAGGTAATTAATATGTTTCACCATTCACGGTTTATTCATATAATTGAATTACATTTCGGTTTGGTTTCATTGTATACTCATAACCCGAAAATGCAGGTAACGGAGTTGAAACCAGAGTGGTTGATTGAGTTAGCTCCTCACTACTACCAGCTCAAGGACGTTGAAGATGGTATGGACCTTTTTTTTCTTCTCTGTCCAATTATACGTTTTGTTATTTGTACAATCGAATCTTTCGTTCTCTAAAGACAAAACCAATCTTAAATATGTTTTCAGCTGCATCAAAGAAAATGCCCAAAGGAGCTGGAAAAGCTGCAATGTAAAAGAACTCAGATGCAGATGTGAGTATATATAACTTTTGACAGATTGTTAGGGGGTGAGCTCTTGTTACTACATTCAACTCATTTTTGGTCAGCATCTTGAGCTTTTGTTAGAAAGATAATTAAAATGTTATGATCGATCAATCTACAAATTACATCAATGACCACTAAAAGACCAGCTAGCTGTTTGGCTCAGCGTGAATCATATCATCCAGTGTTTTTATTTTGACAAAACATTTTTGAAGTCAATCCAAATTTGCAATTACAGCATCAACAACCTCCTGTGTAGTAGAAGTATTACTATTACTGTTTCCAGAGTCTACTTCAGAGATGTAACGCTTCAGGGCGGTTTCAAGCCGGTCAGCGAATGAAAGAGGCTGAAGATGTCTGAGCATCATAACCTTCTGGGTTTTCATTGTTCCTCACCGATCCAACTTGCTCAAACACTGCATACTCACCACCAAAACTTCCTCCAGGCATAATGCTATCTCCATTGCCTCTTCCAGCAATGTTTGCAATTAGATTCCCATAAAGACTTGGAGTCGCAAGGACGTCGAACCGCTCTGGTTCCTCTAGAAGTTGCGAACAGCAGCTCCCAGCAGAGATCTCGTCGTAAGTGATGATAGGATACATCTTTGCAACTTCTTGAGAAGATTCCAAGAAGAAAGAATCAGCTAGTTTCATGCTCTTGCTGTGTACTGCTGTAACTTGCTTCCTCTTGGTTAGTTGAGCGAATTCGAAAGCGTACTTTGCGATACGATCTGACCAGAACATTGTCATTGTCACCTGAGAGCTCACGACGACACCGGGAACAGCTTCGTGCTCACGCAATGTGTGTTCTGCACCCGTGTTCTCTCTGATCACCACGATGTTAACGTTCTTGTGGCGGCGACTCGGTTGTCTACTAAGTTTGAAGCAGTTGACCAGAGATGCAAAGAGGCCAAGCTCCTTATAACTTGCACCACCACAACACAAGGAGGTTCCGTTCAAGCAAACTTTGTTCTTCCGTATCGAGTCGACCACTTCTTGCGGGAGATGGTTCATGTTTCCTTTAATGTCATATGTCTCGAAGTAGACCGGTGCGTGCATTCCTTCCATCACCTGGCGTACCGCGTTCGCCACATTGCTGTGGATAACTGTCACGGGTCTGATTCTACTTACATTCTTCACGAGAGATATCGATTGGTGAGACATTTTGGGTGGAAGACAACCAACAATTTTATCAGTTATGAATTGTAGAAAAAGATCATAATCAAGGAGTACAACATGTCAACGAGTTGACCAATGCGAAAGCAAGAACATAATGGAACACATGTCCCCAACTTTACAATTCAATCAGATTATAATATGAACATGCTGCTCTTGTCTCTTGATCGATTTTATCAGTGTTCTTGAGTTCTCTGTTTCTATTCCAAAGTATCTATATTTATTAAATTTGCTGAAAACGCACATAAGTTCCAATTTTGATACAATAGACCCAGAACTTTGTTCCCTTTTTAAAGATTTCCCCAACATATGAAAAGCGACTAAATTCAAAACCTTCTGAATCGTGGCGAAGGCTTGGGTCACACTTTCTTCGACGACAACATTAAGATGAGGCATTCGTTTTCTGCCATACATCTAAAGATAGACATACAAAAGGTAACAAAAGCCATTAAGAGCTCTCTTTACCATTTCCCCACTTTCATTTAAGAAAAACAGAACAAGAAGGGAAAGAGACCAGAAAAACAATGGCACTGAGAATGTGGGCTTCCTCTACAGCAAACGCTCTCAAGCTCTCTTCTTCTGCCTCCAAATCTCATCTCCTTCCAGCTTTCTCCATCTCCAGATGCTTCTCCTCAGGTAACAAAACACAACATCTTTTTCGACAACTTGTGTGTTGCATTGGTCTCGTTTTAGGACTCTGTCTGAAAAACTCTTTGGTGTGTTTTCTGGGTAGTGTTGGAAGGACTTAAGTATGCAAATTCACATGAGTGGGTGAAACATGAAGGCTCAGTGGCTACCATTGGCATCACTGACCATGCCCAGGTAACAAAAAAACATAGCTTATTAGAACTAGTTTAGATCAAAACTCATTAGTGTCTGAAAGAGATGATTTTGCAGGGACATTTAGGAGAAGTTGTGTTTGTGGAGCTGCCAGAAGAGAAAAGCTCAGTGAGCAAAGAGAAAAACTTTGGAGCTGTGGAGAGTGTTAAGGCCACAAGTGAGATCCTATCTCCAATCTCTGGTGAAGTCATTGAGGTCAACACAAAGCTCACCGATTCACCTGGTTTGGTAAGTTCTGCATCTGAAACAATATATAACTCAGTGTATGGTGTGTGGCGTAGAGCAAAACTGAGTCTTTAGTTTATATTCGTGTAGATCAACTCAAGCCCTTATGAAGATGGTTGGATGATAAAGGTGAAACCAAGCAACCCTGCGGAGTTGGAATCCTTGATGGGTCCAACGGAATACACCAAGTTCTGCGAAGACGAAGACGCTGCTCACTAGTTTACATGTCCTAAACAAAGAGCAAAAAACAAGACAATCCATGCTAAAGTTTCAATCTTTTCACTTTTTCAATGTCTCTTTACCTCTCTCAAGCTTGTATCTCTGTGATACTAATTTGGTTAAAAACATCATTCAGTGAGACCCAAGAGAACTTTTAACTCTAAAATAAGACAGGTCGAAGTTCAGGATTAAAATAAAACACAAAGAAAGATCAAATTTCATTTTGATTTAATTGAGGAAGAAACGTTTACATATCACAGTGGTCTAATTTTTAGACCAAAAACCAAAGTCGTAAGCATAGAAAAGAAAAAGACTTTGTGATATCTGTACATAAACTCCTATCAGATACCGTTTGGGAGAGTCGGAGAAACAGCAGCTACATCCGGTGACTGGTCGTAGGAGATTGAAATCAGCTCGGATCTGAGCTTTTCTGCATCCTCGTTGTTGTTTTTGTTTTCTTTGGTGGTGACTCCGTTTGTGGAAGTGATGAAAGGTTTCACATCTGAGGACTCCTCCTCCTCGGGTGAAGTGTAAGAGATGGCGATGAGAGACTCACGTGTTTGTTCTTGAGAGATGTTGTCACTCGGTTGTTCCATCAAATGCCTTTAAGCTTCTGCACATATTTTTTACCAGATGAACAATGTTTCTTTGTATATGAAAACACTTTTCAAAAGTTATATAAACACACAAATTCACACATTACACAAACCAATCCAAAAGCTCAGAACTTTTCACATTGCAAGAGATGCTTCAACGACAGAGAAAGTCTTTTGACCAATTAAAACGAAGAAATTTACATAATGCTTAAACACATAACAAATGTAAAAAATGTTAAAGCTTTACAATACAAAACGAATCAAATCACTAACAAAATAAATTCTGTAAACAAAACCCTAAATTCCGTGACCGACTCAAAATCACACCCCCAAAAAAATGAAGTCAACGCAATTTCTCAAATCCTTCACTTTTGTTTATTTACGTAATTTCTTACATTGCGATTTTCTCGGGAGTTAGGAATTATCCAATTGAGTAACCAAATCCCAATCAAATAGCGATTTTTTTTTTCTCTCCGGACAAATTTCTCTTCCCCAGAGACATAATAAAAGGAACAAAAAAATCGATTCAATTGAACAAACTAACAAAAATATTAAGTGAAGATCGGAAAATCCAAGGAAGGAAGAACGGAGCAGCGAGGAAGAGAAGAGACGTACCTCGTTGATTCGTACGGCAATGGAAAACGGAAAGTTCGAGACAAAAATTGGATAATTTGGTTTGGTTTTTATTGGCCATTTTTTTTTCCGTTTACACGTTTTTTTGACCAAAAAGATTATAATATTCTTTGCCAGCTAATTCACACGTCGACAATTATATGGCAATTAGCAAGTGGGGATTTTAATTGAAATACGAGTCCTCTATTTTCTCTGATTTTATAAATTTTAGCAATATCTTTTATTAATTACCCCTTGATTTTTTTTCTCTTATAATTACCCCATGATTACTATCGAATGTGATTCATTTTTGCCACTAACTACTGTTAAAAATTATTATACAATTCATGACAAAGTGATTTTGCTTTAATATTTATAGATTTTGTTAGATTTTGATGTGTAGAAAAGGTTTAGATAAATGAGAAATTCTAATGGAAATCAATGATGGCTATAATTGGGAAACAATTACAACTTATTAATAGCATGCAAATAAACTTAAAAATGTAGAACAGAATATGTAATATATAATAACATCAATTATAGTAAAATTCCAAATCTCATTTTCTATAGAAGAAAATTTAGTACATCTAGATCTTGGAGGTAATAAGGGAAATGCGGGAAAAAGTCAATAAAATGCATGCAGAATATTATCGAATCAACACAATAATGTCAATTAAGATAGTGTTCCAACCTTTCCTTTGTAATGATATGCACTTGACCACTTACTCAAAGCAACGAGGAGTCGACGATGATGTTAGAAAAGTAAAAGTAAATCAAAATAAAGGAAACGGTCATATTTATTAAATACTATATGATTTCTTCTTCCATCCCCCACTAACTAGGCAACTATATGTTATAACAGTTTGAATGGAGAAACGATCCTCTACATTTCGATATTTTTTAAGTTTAAACCACATTATAATCATTCTTCCTTAACTACACACGATCGTTTATGTTAGACTTGGGTATATATCCGGTCTGTTTGAGTTGTTTTGTTGTCGGTTTGCTAGGGAATGTGACATCATTTTTACCTGTAAATGAAGACAACTTCAGTTCACATGAATAAAAAAAGAACAAAACATGAACTCTATAAACATCAAATTTTTTGATTCAATAATGCTCTCAAACCTAAGATCCTTTCATATTAAAATTAAGATCCTTTACATGGTCTGCAAAGACATAAAGTCGTTGGATTGTTAAGCACTTGATGGTTAGTTTGGATTTCAACACAGCAGAGATTGAAGTATAAAATATAAAACGCTTTAGATGTATAGTAGTCGGTGTTGAACCAGAAAATCACCACTAGGATTTGATTAACAGTTGTGGGTTTCGAATAATAAGAACTTTTATTAATAGTAAGAAAGCATAGTGATTACAAAGAAAAGTATAACCGAGAGGTTATGCCGAAGTGAAAAGAAGGTTTGCGAAGTAAACTAGAAAGCGTTGGAGTCTCTGTTTTTAGCTATGCTGCTCTCTCGATTGTATGAGTTGTCCTTTCTGGCTTCGAGATCTTTGTATTTATATGAATGGGAGGTCGGTTACTCCGAACTCTTTTTCCTTTTTGCCTTCTTGTATATTTCCATATCATGGATATGAAAATATTCCTTATTCTCCGAAGAATATGAAATTCTCCATTATCCTTTGGGATAATCCGATGTTTCCGGTTTCCATAATTATTTTTGAAGAGTTTTCCTTTAACCCGAACTAGGTCGGCGCGGTCTTCCTAGTCATGATGGACTTAGGTTATTGCGGGGAAGGCTTTTTAGGAAATGTGCTCATTTCCCCTCTAACAGTAAGTCCCCCCCCCCCCCCCCCCCAGTTCGGCGAGACTGATTGTAAATCAGGTCGGCGGACTTCATGAAATTAGAGATGGGGTTGACCTCGCGATAATTGTTAGTTCGTCAAGAGCGTTGCTTTTTCGATAGCCAGTTCGGCTTGACTCTTAGCGGATTTGTCACGTGGCGCTTCCCTTTTTTTTTTTTTTTATTAAATACTCCGACCCATCAGGGTTTCTGCTTTCTAGCGGGAAATGTGAAGGGTTCGCCAAGCGGCGAGGTTTGTAAAAATCTTGACATGCGTCTTCTTAGGAAACTGTTGATATTTTTTTCTGATTTTTATTTACTTTACCTTTTACCTCTTCATCTTCTTTTAGAAAATCTTTGTCTTCTTTGCCGATTTCTGCAACAATCTTTTATAGCTATTTTGTTTGCTTATTCTCCTTCTGCTTTTCTATTTTGATTAAAAAAAATGTCTGCTTCTTCTTCGCATTCTTCTTTTGATGATGATGAAATTTGTCTTGTCGACCGTGCCCGATAAACCTGGGTTAGCCCAGTTGCTTCTACTTCGTCCATTTCTGAGGGCTCTTCAGATTATCGGGATGAGATTCCGTCGGATCATCCTGATGCGGATTCCGAAGTGGATTTGGATGGTCCTGGGCCTTCGAGTTTTGAATCAGAGATCAGGGTCGAGGGTCTCCCCGAGAAGATTGCAATGTCACCGCACAGGACCGGCGTTAAAGACGGAAGAACTTGGATGACCGCGGAAAGGCTCGATGAGCTTTGTTTGAAGTGTGATTTTCCCGACAAGGTCGAACTGCTGTTTCCTCAAGTTCACGAGAGAGTGACCACACCCCCAGAGGGCTATTTCTGTTTATACGAGTGTCATTTTGCGGGGTTCGGCCTTCAGTTCCCGATCTCGTTGCTTCTCCGTTACTGCGAACGGAAGAAGATGCCGGTGGCGCAGCTTACCCATGCCGTAATCCGTCACTTCAACAGCTTGGCGGCGGTGGCTCATGCAGCTATGGTCCCTTTCAACTGGACATTTTCGAGAGGGTGTCCATTCTGAAGAGAGGAAGGGTGAATCGTGGCGGATGGCGCTATTTTTACACCATGATGAAGGAGGGGATCATAGGTGGTGATCCGACGAGCAAAGTCCACGAGTGGGACCAGTATTTCTTTTTTGTAAAGATTAATGAAGCATCTATCGGTGGTTCCGATCTTACCCTCTTCAGGGCTTGGAGATCGGCACCGTGTAAGGAGAATATTGATTTTTATTTTTTACCTTGTTTGATGACTTGCTGAGTAATAATGCGTTTCGTCATTGCAGTGGAAATACGTCTGGGAGAGGACCCAATCGGGTTTGACGAAGACGTCAAGAGGCTGCGCGACCTGAGTCGGCAGTTATGGGCCGAAAAGGAGAAGAAAGGGGTTGCTAGACAGAAGGCGTTTAAGCCTGCCGAGAAGAAGGCCAAGCCCTCGAAAGCAGGTAGGCTGTTAAAATAGAATAATATTGACTGGTTGGCGATTTTATTGATGCGTTTATTATGTTAGCTTCACGAGGGGTCTCGCAACCAAAGCCTGCAGAGGCTGGTCGGAGAAAGAGGAAGGTGACTTCGGCCGATACGCCCGTGAGCGCTTCTGCAAAGAGGAAGAAGACTTCCCAGGATCCACCCAGCTTGGTGGATTCAGATGACGCCGAAGTGGCTGCTGAGTCCGAGACTCTGGCGAGGTAAATTTTCTCGGCTTCGCGCGTTATTATATTATACCGAAGTGATTTCTGACGCTACATTGCTTTTGTATTTTTCCCGCCCTTACTTTTTATTTTTAAAGTTTCTCTAGGGCGGCCGCGCTGGAGAGATTGAGATGGATGCAGGCTGAGAAAGCCGCAAAGAGCTCACAAGGCGAGACGTCCTATACTCCTGCCTCTCAAGTCGCGCATAGAGAGGGTGCTTCGGACGCTGCCGGGAGCTGTTGCGAGGTTGTTTCCCCTTCAGTTGATGCTCCATTGTCGCCTCGTGTGGACATTCGTTCACCGCCTCGGACTGGTGTGTCTCAAAGCCCTGAGACACACGTCAGAGAAGACGCAGGTCGGGAGAGGATCGAGGAGCCCGGCGTGGGTTATTCCGCGGGGCCGACTTCTCCCGAGGTTGCCCCGGATACAAAAGAGGTTGATCCTGGCGTTCCGGAGGAAGCTGCTCAAGAGGCTGCAGATGGTGCCGAACCAAGTGTACCGGTCGAACCTAAGCAGGAGGAAGAGTCTTTTGACTATAATCCCCATCATTTTGGTGTGAGCTGGGATGGGAACACTCCGGCGATGCTTGATCGCAAATTCGCCGCAGACTTGATCTGGAAGTACAGGGAGAAGCCGCGATGGGGTAAGCCACTACAAGAGTTGAAGCTAGCGAGCTCGATCTCCTCCGCGAGTCAATTAATAGCTCAGGTAATTTTATTTATCCGATGATTGTGTTGTTTCACCTTTTTCCTGTCTTTGGTGTGTTTCTGATAGCCGATTATAATACAGGGTTTGGGAAAGTATATGTCCGCGTTTGCTGCGTATGACGAAAGCTGGTGCGAGGAGGAAACGATGGTGAACGCTGCGTCTTCCAGGAT